CCAGCCTGAGTGACAAAACAAGATTCTGTCTCAAAGGAAAGAATTAGATAGCAGAGTGGGGACATATACTCACAAAACCTTTTTTTTTTTTTTTTTTTTTTTTAGCCTGGCATAAATCCATTATGAGGGGCAACCCTTGCCACCTAAATACCTCCCATTAGGTTCCACCTCTCAGCACTGTTGCATGGGTGATTGTTTATAGCACATGAGGTTTGTTGAGACAAACATTGAAATAATTGCAATTGAGGCTCACACTCATAAGAGCAGATGGCTAATTAAAACCCTAGAAATATCTTTGCTGTTTCTGCTGCTGTATATGCCTTTGTTACAACAAAGATTCTGATCTTCAGAATTATAGATAGATGACTGAGGCAGTGTCTCACACCTGTAATGATCACTTGAGCCCAGGAGCTTGAGGCAGCCTAAGCAAAATAGTGTGACCTTGTTGAAAGAAGGAAGGAAGGAAGGAAGGAAGGAAGGAAGGAAGGAAGGAAGAAAGAAAGAGAAAGGAGAAAAAGAAAGGAGAGGAAGAAAAAGAATTCGGGGGAGAAGCCAGTGACCTCTTTGGCTCACTAAAGTGGTCATTTCAACCAAACTTACAACCAGGGTTCCTAAACTCTGTAAGCCTGCCATGCCCATAGAACTGTGTTGGTACTGAGATAAGGTTGTCTGGAGTAAGAAACTTCAAAACATAATCACCATAAAAGGAACACCCCCTTCAGTGTATTAAATGTCTACAAAAAAAGAATAAAACACAATGGACATTAAATGCCTGGGAGATGAAAAAAAGAGAAAGAAAAATAAAACCAAATTACAGATTCGAGGAGACCAAAACACACAGAAGTGCACGCCTGCGCGCGTGCACACACACACACACACACACACACACACAAAATGAAAATTTTAAAAATGGAAAAGAAGTTCTTAATTTGCAATTTTCAATTGAAAATACAAAATTTAGCAAAAGAATCTACACAACACAAAGATTACAAGGAACCAGTTGACTTTTCAGTCTCTGTAACCTAGATGATGACTGAACCTCAGCATCTGTTGAAATGCATCAATTGGAAAACCTTCTTAGACTTCATCATTTGCCTCTAGTTAGTTTACCAGATATCCCTCTAGTTTTAAATGAAGAATTCTCTATTACCTTAGTGATGTTACTGAACATAAAATGGAGGTCAAAGTGGTATCCCTTGTGTTAACTATTAGAATCACGAGTTTCCCTTACTTTTCCATGGTGAGAGCATGCACTGCTATAAAATATTGAAGAGAAAAAAGAGATACAATAAGTAATAAATGCAAATTAAATTAAATCTTCTACATTTTCAAATTAGCTTTACAAAATGGGATTCAATGGATGTTCCTGACCCCAGTGAAAAAGGATAATATGATAGTAGTTAAAAGAGAATACTCAAAAATTAAAACCCATGACGCAAGACCTAGGGGCGATTATCCCACTGATTCTGGATTCGACCCCAATTTTGTATGTTCTTCTACTTTGAAAGAAGTCTGACATCTCAGAGTGAATTGCTGACAGCTTTAATGGAGCAATTTCCCCAATGTTATTGGCGTGATTTACTCCATCCCATCAGCAAACGGTAAATATCTGGCTACTACAGATTTGGCTAGATTTTTTCAGGCTGATTTCAACAGCTTCCTGGCCATGCTTTCCCTTTACCTCAAAGAAACTTTATGCATCTCTACCCACCAATCACGGTAATTTTTAAAAATTAGCTGGGCATGGTGACATGTGCCTGCAGTCATAGCTATTTGGTAGGTTGAAGCAGGAGAATCTCTTGAGTTCAGGAGTTCCAGGTTACAGTGAACCGTGACTGTGCCACTGCACTACACGGTGACAGAACAACACCCTGTGTCAAAAAGAAAGAAAGAAATAGAAAAATACAGCTCACCAGCCGCAGTGGCTCCCATCTGTAATCACACTTTGGGAGGCTGAGGTGGGTGGATCACCTGAGGTCAGGAGTTGGAGACCAGCCTGGCCAACCTGGTGAAACCCCGTCTCTAGTAAAAATACAAAGATTAGCTGGGCATGGTAGTGTGCTCCTGTAATCCCAGCTACTCAGGAGGCTGAGACAGGAGAATCACTTGAACCTGGGAGGTGGAGGTTGCAGTGAGCCAACATCCTGCCATTGCATTCCAGCCTAGGTGACAACAGCGAAATTTTGTCTCAAATAAATAAACAAACGACAACCCAGTCCTTGCTCTGATGCTCCACTCAGCACATAATACGTCACTTCTGCAGTCCTCACACCATCATGACCGTCCTGCAGGTCCCTACCCCTGTCCCTTTCACCAGTCCAGGACCCTGGCAGAGCTCCCTTTCTGAGATCTTTACTTTCATCTTCTCCCATACCCCACTAAGGCCCCAGCCTCCCCCAGAGCCTCTCAAGGGCACAGAATGTGGAGCCGCATGGTCCTCCACTCTCCAGGGGTCCCACACCATCTGCCAGTCAAGAAACTGAACCCCGCTAAAGAGGCTTCTCTTTCTCTTGCTCACTTTTTCTTCTGCCAGATCCCGATGGTTGAAGAGGGTGTGCAGGCAACCCTACCTCTGGAGGACACCCCCACCCCTGTGCCCGGGTCTTCAAGCCCTTTAATCTGACTTGGGAGCCCTGGGACTAGGCGGTGGACCTCAGCACTTTCCTCCAGCACCACCAGGCCGACTTCTAACACTGACTCTCTGCAATTCCGACAAAAGAATTTGAACAAAATCTAAGAAACCAGGTGTATCTGGTGCTGAAGAGCCTGTCGCAAACTAGGACTGCCCAGGGAACTAAACTCAGAACATGACAGCAGAGAAGCCAGCTAGTGCCTGCGGGGAGCCCGAGTAGCAGAAGACTGCGGCACAGACACCGTGGGGACTGTGGGTGGGAAACAGAACCCGGAGAGCGTCATTAATTTATTTCTCACTGCTCCTAATTAACATTTACTTGTATTCCATATGTCCTCCTAGGTGATGGAGGAGTGTATGTAATATTTGTTTTAACTCATGCAAGGGTGTGGGATGGTCCCGCTGCTGTGAATGCAGATCTCTGCTATTGATGGAGCTTTGTGAGAGTGGTGGAGGGAGGACACTTGGAACTACAGCAGGGTAGGAGAAGAAGCGGGGTGGACTCCAGTTAGGGAGGCCTTCCTGGCTGGAATCAAGTCTAGTCGTGGTGAGGTGGGAAAATAGAGTCTGCAGGCAGGGAACATGAGGCCAATTCACACTTCAACTATAACAGGAAATATCCTCTCCACAGGGTGTAGGCTGTAAGTGACTTTGTAACTTACCTCATCCTCTCCATTTTCATACAGTGTACCCCATGTAACCAGTGGAATCTTCAAATTCTGTAACAGGGCCTTTGAGCCCCTATGTTCAGGCCCGCTCCCACACTGGGGAGGTATCTTTCATTTTTAATAAAACCCTTCATTCCTTCCTGGCTTTGTTTGTGTGTTTTGTCCAATTCTTTGTTCAAGACACCAAGAACCTGAGCACCCTCCACTGTGAACAGACGGCGATAGGTTTGGGGATGGCACTGTCCTCCAGCATCTCAACTCTGTCCACTGTGCGAGGCTTCTGCCGGCCTCAGGAATGATCTTTTGGAATTGGCCCTTAGGGAGCAGCTGCCAGCTTAGGGGCTGGTGGGCTATCACCTGGAGGCTGTCCAGATCTCCTGGTATGTTCTGTGAACACAAATACACTTGATTCACTGTCCAAAAATAAATAAATAAATAAATAAAAATAAACCAAAAAATGCAATTGGGGACATTTCAAGGGATTTTAGGGGCTCCACAAAAGGAAAAGAAACAAAGACCAAATGTATTTCTTATAACCCACACAGGGACTGACAGCATATCAGATTCACCACAGGGACTTATTTAAACTACATGCCCATATCCCCCAAAAGCAAAGTTCTGATAGGTTCCCCCGGGGTGAGCCGGCTACAACAGGAGCTGTGCCACTGCTCACAGCCCCTTCCCCTCTACCACGACTCCAGAGCTCCCACCTCTAGAAGTAGCGGGAGGAGCCAGTAAGGTTCTCCTTGGAGGCTGCTGCTGCAGGAGGCTGCGCAGTTGGAGCTGCCTGCCAGAGTGAGAATCCAGAAAACACAGTTGAGGATAACTCTGGAAATAAGCCTCTTACGGGAAAAACAGTATTATAACAACTTCAGAAAGAGCCTGACAAGATTCCTTAGCACAGGGGTCCCCAACTCCTGGCCACAGATGGGGACCTGATGGTGGCCTGTGAGGAACTGGGCTACACAGCAGGAGGTGAGTGAGCATTACAGCCTGAGCATCGCCTCCTGTAAGATCAGCAGTCCTATTAAACTCCCATAGGAACCCCAACCTATTTTGTTTTCTTTTCTTATAATTGTTTGTTTAGTTCTCTGTCTCCACTTGGTTGATCTGTTGTTTTTTGCTTCTTCCTTTTTTTTTTTTGCAGAGTCTCACTTTTTGCCCAGGCTGGGATTACAGGCGTAAGCCACTGTGCACAGCCTACTCTAACATCTTATATGAGGAAGTTCTTTTGTATGTTGTATGGGAATCACAGATTTCTCACAGATTTCAATTTCTCATAAGGGACTTCATGCTGTTTTGCTTTAATTACATCTAATTATGTCTGAGGTGTTCTGCATAATCAGCATACCTACCATTAAACAGTTAACAGAAGTATGAGAAACACAAACCATTCTTGAAATACCTTGGGCTCTGTGCCACACCAAATCCTACTTTTAAAAAATGTTTTCCAGGCTGAGCTTACTGGCTCAAGACTATAATCCCAGTAGTGTGAGACGCCCGGGCAGGAAGATTGCTTGAGGTCAGGAGTTCGAGGCAACAGTGAGCTAAGATCTTGCCACGGCACCTCAGCCTGGGTCACAGACACTCAGTCTTAAAAAAAAAAAAATCCAGAAGATCTGTCTTCATTGGTGTTTAACTTTACACAAAACTTCAAGGGACCTGTAAGGCGAGCGCGGCGCGGGGAATGGAGCCCCGAGCCCATTGGACAGAACACAAAGGCTGAAACCTGCTTGGAAGGCCGGCCCGGCGGGGCGCTGGGGGTGGGCGTTCCCCACGGCACCCGCGCGACGCCCAGGCCCAGAGGCACCGGTGTGACCGAAGTCCAGCTTCGGGGACACGCCCGGCCCACCGCAGTGCAGGTACAGGTGAGTGCGGCCCCGCCTCGCGGAGCTCCCGCTCCCGCGCGTCCCGCGGCAACACGGCGCCCACCCGCGCCGGCAGCCAGGAACCCAGGGCCCCCTCATGGCGCTGGCATCCGCGTCCGCCACTGCGGCTGCCGGGGTGAGCCAGGGGGCGGTGCGGGGCTTCCTGCAGGAGCGCGGCGGGAAGGTGCGCGGCTCCGAGCTGCTGAGCCGCTTCAAGCCGCTGCTGGATGCCGGCGACCCGCGGGGCCGCGCCGCCCGTAGGGACCGCTCCATGCAGCTCGTCAACGACGTGGCGGCGGTGAAGGAGCTCTACGGCGTCAAGTTCGTGGGGCTGAGGAAGAACCCGCGGCCCCCGGAGCCCGAGCCCCCGCCCTCCAGCGCCCCCGGGGCAGGGGCCTCGCAGTCAAAGTCCCCTGTCGTCTTGCCGGGGGACGCCTCTGCCCCAGGATCGCCGCCATTGGTCTCCGCGCCGCGGCCGTTGGAGCCGCCAGGGGACCCAGGTCCGCCAACAGAGACACAGGACACCCCCGGGGCGCCGGCCTCCGAGCCCGCTCAGCCCTCCCGGGAGCGGTCGGCCGACCCCCGGCTTCCAGCCCTGGTGCTAGCCCAGGCCCCCGACGGACCCTCCGCAGACGCGGCCCCACCGCCTAGGTCTCCGTCGGAGGCGTTCTCGCCCTGCGCTGATCCGCCAGACCCGGAGCCCGGGCCGGGACAGCGAAGGGGCCGCCGCCGCAGAAGCCCCGCAAGCTGCCGGTGAGCTGCGTCCCGTGCCCCGCCACGCTCCTCAACGGGGAGGAGGAGCTGCCTGCGCCGCAGCTGTCGGAGGAGCCGAGCCCGCGGCGCTGCCCTGCTGCCGAGGCGGCTCTCGGTGGAGGAGTCCGGCCAGGGCCCGGGCCGCTCCCTGCCCCTGAAGCCCCTGTCGCGCTCCGGCCCGCGTCTGCGGAGCCCCGACGCCGAGGAGGTGACCGCCGCGCCACCGCCGTCCGCCGGGCCCTGGAGCCCTTGGAGCAGGAGTGGAGTAGCACTTTTAATTTTCTGCAACAACTTTTCCTTTGCATTCACAACTTAGCTAACTGGACAGGAAGCTTAGCTTTCAGCCTCTCTCTGCCAGTCTTGGCCTTTTACATGCCTTCCTCACTAGCTTTCTAGCCTTTGATTTAAAGTGAGAGACATGCAATTCTTCCTTTCACTTGAGTACATAGAAGCCATTGTGGGGTTATTAACCGGTATAATTTGATTATTATTGTGTTGTAGGAAATAGCGAAGCCGGAAGAGAGGGAGAGAAGGGGAAAGGCTGGTCAGTGGAGCAGTCAGAGTACACAGAATATTTATTAAATTTGCTGTCTTATATGGCCATGTTTTGTGGTGCACCAAAACAAATATAATAGTAACCTCAAAGATCACTGATGACAGATCACCATAGCAGATATCATAATAATAAAGTTTGTAACACTGCAAGAGTTACCAGAATGTGACACAGACGCAAAGTGAGCATGTGCCGTTAGAAGAGTGGTGCCAGTGGACTTGCTCAATGGAGGGTTGCCACAAACCTTCAATTCATTATTTGAAAAGCAGTATCTGTGAAGCTTTGGATAGATGTGAATAAAGGGAAGCACAACAAAAGTATGCTTATATATATTTAAGCCTTATATTTAAGACTAAAAGAAAGAAGATATGTGGTCATTTGTTAGGGGTGGTTGAGAAAAGGAAGAAGGAATATTTGAAGCAGAGTAGGAGGAGTATATGATTTATACAAAGATTTTGACATGAGACATTCAGGAAAGTAAAACCTACAAGTCTGTGGGTGGTAAAACCCCGATTCTAAGAGAATCCAAGTAGAGTTTCAGAAAGCGGAATAAAGATAAAGGAATGAGATTGAGAGATGGGTAAAGCAGGTTTAGATAACGATTGCCCAAAAAGACATATGAAATTGTTGGAGTTGAATGGGATAGATCAATGTGCCTTTCAGAATGAGTATTCTGTCTGTAGTACAGAGACGGGGTTTCATGACAGGCTGGTCTCAGAACTCCTGGCCTCAGATCTGCCTGCCTTGACCTCCCAAAGTGCTGAGATTACAGGCGTGAGCCACTGCACCTAGCCTCTTCAATTTCCTTATTCCTCTTTTTCTCAAAGTGTTGTTCCTTCATGCTTTATAGTTAAGTATCATCTGCCCATCTCTCTCAAGCCTTTCAGCCTTGGTAGTTGAAATACATCTGCATCTAAATACGTCTCTCTAAAAGATTGGCATTACATTAATATATCCATGCTTTCTACAAACTGAAATATGTATATTGCCAGTATAGAATTGTTAAAAATTTAAGCTGAGTGTGGTGACTCACGCTTGTAATCCCAGCACTTTGGGAGGCTGAGGCAGGCAGATCACTGGAAGTCAGGAGTTCGAGAGCAGCCTGGCCAACATGGTGAAACCCCATCTCTACTAAAAAATACAAATGTTAGCTGGGCATGGGGGCATGCACCTGAAATCCCAGCTACCTGGGAGGCTGAGGCAGGAGATTCTCTTGAACCCAGGAGGTGGAGGTTGCAGTGAGCTGAGATTGTGCCGCTGCACTCCAGCCTGGGTGACAGAATGAGACTCCGTCTAAATAAAAAAAAAAATTATTATTATAAATCTACAAATATAATTATTTCATTATTTGAAAATGACAGAAATGAAATTTCATTTTAATGTGTATGTCAGCTTGGAAAAAACATGGGAATGAATCAGTTAATTTTTATTAGTTTATATAAGATAAACATAATCATTTAAAAAGTTCAGGGCTGTTATGTGGCCATGCATAAAATGGACTTCAGCAATGGCCGAACTGGTGGCTACAGGACATAAGCAGAGAATATGGTAGATCTCCTGATGAGAAATCATCCAAGTTGGGAGTATTTCACACTTGAAAAATGACAGAACTCATGGCAGGTTCGATTGAACTATTAAATCCTGTCAGACTATTTTGAATTCAGAACACGAGAAGTAATGAGCTGCTTTGGTATTTTGAAATTTTCACAGAGAACTTTCATATAGAGCTTTCATCATGCTTTGTCATTCTCACTGGATTTATTGCACTTCATATCAGTGCTTGAACATGGCATTGCATGCTCTAGAATAATAAAAATGTTGTAAAAATGAGATCTTTAATGAACTTTCCGAGTAAGATTGTAAATTACTTAACTTCACACTACCAGCATTAATTAACACATTGGGCCTAGTAAATTCAATGAGACATTTTTAGTAGGGATTCTAGAATGTCTACCTGTGATTACCTGACTAATATTTGTCATTGTTACTATACAGAAATAAGAGGAATTAACATGCCAATTAATAAGGTGACTCTCATGGCTGTGTTTTTCATATATTTTTGGAGAATTATGTTCCTATGAATGGGAAAATTTATTTCCTTGCTTTAAAAAATTAATTGAATACATATATACACAGATACCCTCTTTTAGAGGCATAATGTTTTAGTGGTTAGTAATAATTTAACAGCTATTTATGTGACACATTTGGATAAAATAGTCTTGCAAAGGAAATAATTGTAGAGTTGAAGTTAACGTTAAAAATCAAAAGAGCAAAAGATTTTGGTTTCTCTGATCTCAAAATATTACAAAGGTCTATGACAATGTTTATGACAAACCAGTTTCCTTTTGCTTTGTTGTAACAATTAATTTTCTTGTGTATCTCTGCTGACTTTTTTGAAAGGGCAAAATTCAGCCATAATTTATCACTTTAAATTATTCAAGAGAATAAAATGCAATCCTAACCAATATGAAACAGCTGCATTTAGAAATCAATAGCATACATATTTGCCAAATTATTAATATTAAATAAAACTTTATTTTTATAATTGTATCAAAGAAATTTGTTTTGTTTTAATTTTATGCAGGTAGCAATTCCTGCCAACCAAATACGTAATGGTGGATGCTCTTAACTTTGTTTACCAACATCTGAAACTACAAGGACTTGTAAGTGTACAGTGGGATATTATCTCCAAAAGAACTACATGTCACGTCAAGGTATGAGTTCATAAAAAACCTTACCTCTGGTTCATTTACTTCATTCATCGTTACATACCATGCAGATTTTAGACAACCAAAATCAATTAGATACTAGAAAAAGTATTAACTAGTTGTTAGAAAATGATATACCGTTTAGTCTCACGTATGTAAGATTTTAATGTATTTGAAATATTTAAAATATCATTTTCTGCCTTATGAGAGATTCTAATTTTTTAGTAATTTTAGTCACTGCACTTTATTATCAAAACTTTAACCAAATCTGGTAGAAGCTACCTTCAACTTGAATAGGCAAAAATTGTAGTAAAAAGCAGTTCTTGACTGAGCTGGAATTAATGTAGAATTTGAACTAAGCAATGTTTACTTTAGACCGCTTTAGAGAAAGCACTAGAGAGAATGTGAGGCCTCTCCTTCTCTGTAAGAGAACTGGTACCTAAGAGGTTTGTCATCCTGTTCCTTGTTTTGCAGTTTCTAGTTCTATTAGTCCAAAGACCTTTGGTCTTAGAATGATCTTTTGTATCTAATGATCATAGCTTAATTTTATCTTTAAAATGCTCCAATCTTATTTGAGAAATATATACATACAGCTAGTGCTCGACTTACGACCATGATTGGTTCTGACAGACTGGTCGTAACACGATTTGGTCATAAGTTGAGTAGGCTATATGTACAGTACTGGGAAATGATGTTATAAAAATCTTTAAGTCATATTTTATCATAATTTTCTTTCATTATTGTTATATATCATAATTTTCTTTGTTCATTTTATGCCATTTGTATCATCTCTACACCATTTTGTTTCTTATTTTTACATTCATCAGGTTTAAGTAAAACACTGCATTACCAGTACAACGGGTTTAATATTGCCTAATATGCAATAAAATAAATAAATGGGAAAAAAACATAGAAAATTACAAAATACAGGTGCATACAAAAATACAAAATACAGGTGTAAAAAATACCGTAGGAAACATTTTCCCAATTGCAAAACATACCAAAATATATAAACGTACAAAACATTTTATTGGCCGCTGGTGCTTGGCTGCGGATCATTGATGTCGTCATCTGAGGCAACAGTTGGGGTTACCAGTGTTGGTTTTTTCAGAAACATGGTGAGCTTTGTCTGAATTGTATGTTTCTTTTTTTCTTCATAAATTTCACGATACGGACGAAACACATGGTGCGCCATCCGTTCAATCCTTGCAGATCGTTCGATGTTTGGGTCCATTGCTTCGAAATGTATAAGAAGTTTATTGGGAGGGGTTTGATGAAAAATATCCAAGACACAAAACACAAATTGCTGTACCGAGTCTGGGATAACAGTTGAAATGGTGCAGGCGGAGATGGTAGTGCGGCCAGAAGCTGGTCCGCACTGTCGTAAGCCCAGCTGGGCAACGTTTGCGCTGCCAGACGCGAAGCAGTCGTGGCTAGCGATTGTGGTCGTAAAGTGGAATAGTCGTTAAGTTGCATAGGTCGTAAGTCGATCAATAACTGTAGTGGGAAATCAAGAGTAGATCAGGTTAAGAGTAGAGAGATAAGGTACAGCTGGCATGAGTGGTCAACACAGCTCTATTAATTAAGAGAGGGTGATTCTAGGTAGGTCCCTGGAGCAATAAAAATGATGTACTATGAGCTGGGGTGTTCATACGTTATAAAGTTCCATAGAATGTCAGCAGTGGAATGAGAAGATGAAAAAGCTGCCAGCCAGTGGTAAAGCAATAAATAAATGGTGTGTAATTGTGATAGGTGATAACGCGGTAAAGGAAAATGGAACATGCTGTAAATGTTGAAGTGAGTATAGCCTTGGAGAAAGGTTTCTTTCTTCCTTAAAATGACTTCTCTACTTTTATTCTGCATACAAATGTCTCCTCAGACATTTCATGCAAAAACCATTCTCTTCTATTTCATCATCCTTAACTTGTTCCTTTCAATGAAGCCTTTCCCTTTTGCTTTCAGGTCCTTCTCGTTAGAAAACACATTACTAATGTCATTACTTTCCACGTGTTTTCTTCTCAACTTCTCAGAATAATGATATATATCTATTGTCTCATCATTGAACTCCTAAAATCAGTTTCAGCTTGTTAGTATACAGGAATTTCTAGATTTATTTGCAGTCAAATCCAGAGATTAATATTTTATATTTTTTGCAGGTTTTATACCATTTGCCTTCTCTGGGACAGTTTTCTTCATTGATAGTCCATTCAAGAATTCATTTTTTTCTTTAGCCTTCTCTGACCCTGCATTTTCTGGCTTTATCTGAGGCCCCTTTTATAGCTTCTGTGAGCATTATATTTGATTCTCTTTCTTCTCATTTAAGGCTTTGTATGCCATTCTCTCTTTTATATTTATTTTTTAAACTCATTTAATCTTACGATTTTATGTAAATCATGCAAATATAGTGAATTTAAAAATATAAATGAATACATGTAAAATAGTTATAAAATATCATCTTTATCCCTTTATTTATATTTCTGATATCCTTTAGGGTTATTTATTTGAATGTCTGTCACTAAAACTTAACATGTCCTCCTACCTCTCATATGCTGCCTTCCTTTCTTAAATATGGGATCTCTTTTTCTGTTACCACAAAAGAGGTTGAAACTTTAGATTTTCCAGTATTTTTTCATCACCTATTTCCATCTGTCAACAAGTCTTCTCACTTCTTTGCTCCAGATATTTGTCAGTTTTTTTATTTCCCTCCATTGCAACTATAAGCTTAGCACTGACTCAGCAGGAGGATCTCAGTAAATATTTTTAATTTCTTAATTTTGAGTCCTCAAAAACAAAATTGTATTTGGGTCCACAATACAAGAAATCTTTGACATATGTAGAAATATTTAAATATTATTTTTCTGTACACCTTTATTTCTTCTCGAAAGCATTTTAAAAATATTAATTATATCACATGGATAATTTTTTTGCCATGATCATAGTTAAGAGCAGATACATTCATTTAAATGTTAAGCTTCTTATTTCCAGGAAATATTTATTACTGCCTGGAATTATTATAGATACATGTCTCCTTATACTTTTTCCATGTGTTTATTGTCTTGAATTTACAGAGACAATAAAAGTCTTAAAAATGAAGAGTCTTGTAAAATTATTCAAACATTGATTTCCAGGTAATATTACATAGACATTTAAGTGTCAAAATTTATATTATAGGAATACAGTACAGTACTTTAATATTCTGTTTGAAGCTAAAACATGGTAGATGGTATTGCCAAGGGAAAGTGTGAACCATAATGGAGTGAATTAGCTGAATTCAAAATTTAAACATGCCTTGAAAAGTGGGCATGAATCCTGTTTTTGAACAATAGAGACTTGAGCTTTTTAAAAATGTAGCCAAATGCAAAATAGGAATCATGTACATCAATGATGAATGAAAGAAGTTGATTTTTTAAGTTTAGCTTAAAAAGTCAGTTTCTTTCATCCATCATTGACTACTCTTCTCCTCATCTTCCTTCTCCTCCTCCTTCTCTTCCTCCTCCTCCTCCTATTTCTGGCATCACTGTGTAAAAATTGAAGTGTAATAATTTTCTTCATGCTAAAAAGTCATTTAACACTAACAACAAAAGACATGTAGGAAGTCACTTATGATGGTAAAAATTTTGGTTAAGTTCCCATGGTATATAATCTCTAAAGGAAACATACATATTGTGATTTTGTTTCATTTCCTTTTAAGCACCAGGATGTATGTTGCCTCTCTTAACTTAGCTCTATATTTCTGTGACTGTAAATAATGTGCTGAAAAGTTTCTCTTTCCATGGAAAATATTCATATTGACATGGGATCTTGCTGTTCTGTAAGTACATATTGTCATATGGTCTTTGATTTTGTATATGCTTTTACAGTATGCTCACCAATATGTAAAAGGTCTTGGCGGACAGTTTAACACCTGTTAAGATAACAACAGTGTAGTAGAGTTTAATAGCATCTCTTAAAGTATATTTTGTATCTTAAAGCAAGGCAACACATATATAAAGGAAATTGAATAAATTCGATTTACCATAGGAATAATGTTGGATAAGATAGATTGCAAGTCATGAAACACATTTAAAACTTCTTTGTAATATTTTGATAATTCTAAGTCAGCTCATGAGCTCTAGAAGTGTAGGCTCTAGGTGGCTAGATGTTAGATATTGGCAAGTTTATAGTTATAGGAAAATATCAAATATACATTGAATATACAAAAGTGCATAAACATGATCTATGCAATAAAATGATAAATGTGAACAAGCTAATTTATATATATATGTACATGTGTATGTTATTTGTTTAAATGAGAAGATGAGTAATAAGGCAGGGTGTAAATACATATATAAAATGATAAATTAACTACAATATGATATAATAAATATAATGTGCTATGGAATATTATGTATGTGTGTATATATATGCATATATATATATTGTTTTATTTGTGAATAATTTTTGCTTCTCCAGTGTGTGCTATCCATACACATAGTAATTGTCCAATATAATTACTCAAAATTACAATGTAGTGAATCAAAAAAGTCTCAACTGTAAACTTAAGAATAGCAGACCAAGAAAGAGACAAATTAAAAAATAAGTTAAATAATGTTGAAGCTTAAATAGAAAGAATAACTCAAATGACCTATATCTTTATTTGGCCTAAAAGAAAAAATATATATATTTCTAAAGTTGTTGACAGGAAAGACACATTTCTCACCGCACACTGCAACACTTTCATTGTTGAAGCCCCTACATTTATGACTTAAAGAGACTAACAAATTTTAAGTATTTCTAATCAGCATCTTTCTCAGACACTTATTTACCCATTTGCCTCTGCTATTAAACAATTAGCTTTATGAGGTACCTAAATCCAATTTATTTTGTATCATCAACTCCCAGCACATAATAGATACCTAATTAAATATTTGTTGATGAGTGCATGAGTTCAGTGCAAGAATAAGTTTGAGAATCAACCACAAAACCAGCAATAACAACAAAAACTTTGAAAAGTTCAACAGTGTCCA